ACCCTTGATACATAAATAACTATTGTAATTGAACGATTTCTTCAATAATATATCGCTTTGAATTTACTTAATTTTTATTTTTGTATTTGAACGCGCTCGTAGAAAAAATAATGTTCCTTACTCATGCGGAAAGTGTCTTTCCCGCACTTGACTGCTTGCCCGAACTCCGCTTCGCGTCGTTCGGGTCAACGGCGCGGCGTGCGGGAAAGTATCACTTTCCGCACAGGAAAATAACTATTTCTTAAAAATGTGCAAAGTGATACTTACGGCCAATTTCATAATCAACTTAAAGTAAACTTTAAATTTAAAGCTCTATTTGAAGTTGAAAAATCCTATCCTAAAAGTCTATTTAGCTAAAGTAACTTTTAATTCTCTATTATGAAATTGGCCGTTATACTATGGCATCGCTGTTTACAATGAAACTTGACTTTACCTGCCACCTGAAATAAAAGAATTTTTTTTATAAACTAAATACTCAACAATAGGTTCGTTCCAAGCATAAATTTCAGCAATTTTTGAGACGCGACAACTTTTTAATAATTTAACGGAAAAATATGCAGTTTCCACCATTTTTCGAAGCGATTCCTTGTTAATCATCTGCTTTACACAAAAAAATATGTTGAGTGTTTTTTTTATACAGGGTGATATAGGAAGTGCGGTAAAAATTCAAAATTTTTGTTGTCTCCCCATTTCTACAATTATTTTTATTTACGACTAATGTATAATGTGCGTATTATATTTGTGATTTTGGCAGTATAATGACATATGTTATTCCTCCAGGGATTAATGACGAGTAGCGGGATTAATGGTCATTATTCCACAAAAATGTCAGTGTCAAACGTGTAGTGCGTGTGGATTTGTATTGAAAATTATGAGACGGATGAAATTTGTTCATTGAAAATCTTAAATAAATTAATTTGTCGTAAATAAAGTAGAGTATACTACTCGCAATAATGGCTATCATTATTGACTCGTGGTATAATCTACTATTATTTTTTTTTCCTAGGCATACTCATTAATCATTATGATTATTATGTTCATCCCTCGAACCGTTTTTGGATTTTTTCTTATATCCTTTTTTGTTTATAAAATAATGCAAATTTAGTGTTATAATAATGACACTCAGAGCTTCAAATCCATCGTGAACAAGTTCAAGCAGTAACTTAGGATCCGCTCATCAGGTCTTCTAGTTCAACAAGTTTGATATCCTTCTCTAGATTGTGTAAATATCTGAGTAGCGTTCGTTAGAAACCAGTTTGTTCACTAGTACTTCTATATCCTCTTCTGTCATTTGTATTTTTGGTCGTAGTTCAAGAAGTCTGTCCATCTCTATTTTGTACGCCTTTCCCCAGGTATTTTTCTCAAACTCTTGCAGTAATTTCATCCTCGCTTCCTGTTTTTTCTTCCTGATTGCCCACTTACGTTCTCGTTTGGCTTTTTTGTAGCATTCAAATGTTGTTTCCTTTTCGTCTTCCGTAGCCCTTATTGATCCTCTGGTTTTCTTTCAGTTTCTTCTCCAATTATTGCGTTTCTTTCGTTTGTCTGCTATTTCTGCACACCGCCAGGGGACTGGGGGAGAAGTTGTTGCATATACTAGCGATCCTGTTCATTAGTGTGTCTGTCGTTTGTCTTTTCGGTTCTATTTCGAGTAGCGCGCGATTTTTGGCGAAGGCCTCCCATGTAGTTGTGGTAATTCTCCATCCTGTGGGGCCGCTATGTGCCGGGGTAGTTCTTTTGTGTTCTTCTGCCTCAAAGCAGATGTAGCAATTGTCACTTAGGCTCTCTATTCCGCTCTCCACTCTCCAGTTTATGCGTTGAGAATAATCACTTCCTTTCTGGCTAGCCAGTCTTCCAGTATTATGCCTCTAGTATTTGTTGTGGATCCCAAGGCTATAGTCATAGTCTTAGCCATTAGATCTCCTCCCATCACTATTTCTTTCGTTGTGCTACCCATGCATAGCTCTATGTTGTTTAGGAGGGTTTCATATTCTTCTCGTTGTCCATTTGGGGAGGTGTAGCACGATATCACTACCATATCATTTAGTTCCGCCATTGCAAATCCAGTTCGGCTGTGTGAGTTCATAAGGGCTCGTTTTTTAACGGCAATGAAGCAGTCTCGATTTGTGTCACACACTATATTTTTGATTCTTTTAAAGTTAGGCTCCTGTCCCAGAATAATATCAATGTCTTCTTCCTCTGCCTTCTGATTGAACAGGTCGTGCGCTGCAGCGCACCTGTTTAGGACAGGTTTATTTGCAGACACTTGGTTGTCTTCCTTGTCACGTTCTTGCTATCGCCCTTGCGAGTCGTTGATGTATGAGTAGGTGTCGCGTTTCTTTTTGTGTTGTTCTTGTTTTTGTTCTGGATTTCCTTGGCCATCAGTCGTACTGTTTGCTCCTTCTAGCACCTGATAGAGCAAGTCCGAACATCTTGCAGTTTCCTGCTCCAGCGTAATATGGTCATTTGCTTTACAAAGTGAGCAATATACCTAAGTCGTTTTTGCATTCTGCTCTTTTGTGGTCTGCAACAGTGCAGTTTTGGCATAACTTGGACCTATATTCCTTTTTACACTGCCAGGCTTGTATTTACATGAATTCTAATTCCTTCTTGAAAATTTCAATGATATAATTTCCAGATAAACTCGATTGCTTATTGTATGACAATCAAACCAATTATTTATCACGAAACATAACTACCCAAGTACTCTTCTTATTCGTTGTCCTCCTTTATTAATAACCCAGATAAGTACCTACTATTTCAATTAATCTTGTGGGCCACATGTCGTTACTTTATATTATTATTTGAAATCATCTTGTGACTATTATGGCTCATGCATGGTACTTCAAATTTTTACTTTTGTATCTACACTCCATAGGTGGTAGTAAACACTTGAGAGATTTTTTCTTTCGAGTGCGTGTTGAACTATGCTCCTCGAATCACACGATTATTATCTCATGTGGGTCCACGAGTATCGTCTACGTCTGGCATTATGATGAAAAAAACTTTTACAAATATATTGCATCAGTATCATAATAACTTTTTCATTTAGGATGATGACCTAATAAGTGGAAGATTTTTAATTAAGATGTTTATTGCGATATATGTATATGGTTCATATAGGTACTAATAATTGAATTGAACATTTTTTGCCGGAATGCAGAGTAGTATAGAAGTACGTAAATGTCTCAGTCTCTCCCGCCTTTTAGTAGAGGATGGGTGTTGTTAGGTATTCCTGCAACCAACAGAGAGCTGCAGCTTTATGTACCTACTTATTATCTTTCTGACTCCTTATTTGTAGTATTTGTACCCACTTATGTATAACCACTATACCATCTCCGGAAAAGGTCGTTTTTCGATTTTCATAATTTCTTATTATGAATAGGTATTTTGGGATTTGAGAAATCAAAAATCTGACTCTCACGAGAGGGTTGATTGGTCACAGACGAAGCTTATTGTTACATTTCATAAATTGCCAATTGGAAACTCATCCAGGTGCTATGGCACCTATATACTAGCAACAAATATTTCTAATTTTATCGTTGTTTTAACTTTGTAAGCTATAGTAATAGGTACTGTGTAAATTCACCAATGAACCCAATAGAAACATTTAATTTTTCTTTGAATAACTCTTAATCTCTAACTTTTTACAATAACATAAGACACGAGTCTGAAAAATGTGGAAAATATTTTAAAAAATACACCATTAGTTTATTGACGTCATAGGAATAATAAATACAGTTTAAAAATCCTAAATAATAATAAATCAAAAAACGAATCGAGCCAGCCAAGCCAAGAGAAGCGATAAGTGCAAGCTAGACATGTGGTCTGCTAGTGCTCGTTTTAATCTTAAGTAGCATGAACTTCTACAATGTTATCTGGTTGACGTAATTAACTAATTATTCCCTAAAGAATGCTTAATGAACTTATTCTTGCTTATTGGGAACCCGGATAACGATTTGTTTACGTACAGCATTATTGCTGTGTTATGTGAGTATAATAACTTGAGGTCACTTTTGTTATTACCTTCATTGGGCCCACACTTAGGGGACATATATTAGGAAAATGATTGGACGTTGTTTGGATCTCCTTTTTTCAACATTTTGATTGCACAGTTCTTCCAAATGTGAATCAATTAAATCAATAAAATTATAAGGACTCTTTCTTAGAAAGTTTGTATAGGTACGTAGGTATAACTAGTATAAGAGGGCAATATTCACGTCCAAAAAAAAATTACAAATCATCCAATCAATAGAATAATACACAGTATCCTCAAAAAAAAATTCAAATTGGCTCTTTTTGAAAAAAGAAAGTTTTTTCATTGATAGAATAGGTAGGTATTTACCTATCTATTTTTACCAAAATCCCTGTGAAGAAATATCAAAAACTAATGGATTTCATTAAAAATAAAATATGAAGGTAAACTACCTTTCCTAAGATTCTCCGGCACAAATCCTAAAAATGTGCACTTAAACAAGTCAGAATAACTGAGTAGGAACTCTTGTATACACAAAAACCAATCATGAGAATTGAGAACGCATTAAATTTCAAGTAACTTTTAGGACTTCGAACACGTACCCTATAGGGAATGTTTTATTTCCCAGAATTTTTACCTACCTAAGTACTTATTATATGTTTGTTTGTTGTACCTACACACCTTTTGAAAAATACCTATTGTTTACCAAAACTTTCTTTAATTTAATCCGTTTTGTAAGGAAAATTTACTGAGATAATTTTATTTTTAAAAGATTAAATACCCCACTCACTTAATAGCTAATTTCATAGAAACACTCCATTGCTATAGAGATAAGTTCCAGCTATAAATGCTCTCAAACACAGATTAAAACCATTGTAAACTCAAGTCTTATAAAGGTTTGATCTAGTATACAATCAAATGCGGTGCCAACATTAATTTTTTTTTGCTGAAGCCGTTACCTTTTTGGTTTTAACACCAGAAGCCACAGAATCTCATCTTCTTATTTTTTGGAATCAACATAGTGAAAATGCCTCCAACCAGCAACTTGATTGGCACTGCTACCCGTTACATCGCAGGAAGAAATGCTGTCCAGACTGTTTACTGGAAGACCTGCGGAACCGACAATCAGAAGCTACTGAAGCTGTCCAAAACTTGCAATTTTGGAAGAGCTCCCAGTCCACCTCAGAAAGTTAGAGAGCTGCAACAGGTTAAATTTTATTAATTGTTTTTAAATGTTACTTGCAAACATTTTTGCAGCTGTACAAATTTATTTATTTTTTGTATGAAATAAAATGGAAGTTTAAATTTTAGAATTTTACTTACAATGAGTTCTTTAATTCATAGCTAAAGTGAAAAGGTAGAAAGGTACAGAATAAAAAGGCGGTTACACACGGGCATGGATGGCTTGATACTTATACGTGCATACATCAACGTGCAAACAACAACGTACCATCGTCACCAAAAGTAACTGGGACAGCATCACATTAGCTCTTGTCCTATAATATGAATTTTATTGTCAAATATTTGTCAAACTATGCATCAAATGCATTGAAATGAATGACAGTAGAACTAGTCCAGGAGATTATTATGCATTATTTGTGTCCCAGTTACTTTTGGTGACGATGGTACATGTCGCCTTTGTACAGACACTCGCACAAAACTATCAAAACTGTCAATCTTGCTACTCTTGCTGCAGTGTTCTGACTGTGCATACAAAGTTTCTAGCGATTCCAGAATTCACCTGAGCGTCATTCTACCGCCTGTAATACATTTAAAAACGCGACAGTACTTATTTTACAAACACATTGATGTTTTTGTTTGTGCGTTCATGTGTGCGTATTTACATGTTTCCAGTTTCCAGATATCCACGTCCGTGTGTAACCGCCTAAACACGTGAAATGTGGGTAGACACCAGCAAGGATGAAAACAATTACTATGGTAAAGTGAGTAACATGTCATCTAAATGTCATTTGTAAAAGTGAATTTTGTTTTGCATTCCAAGTTGCATTTTCTCATCAAAAACCCATAATGTCTCTTAGCAAAATACCTCCGATATCGGCCAACAAATTGTACCTGGGCAATTTACCAAAAGAAACCACCGAGTCCAATCTGCGTCAACTTTTCTCAGAGCATAACTTGTCCTACACGAACATTTTGCTGAAACCGGACGGTTACGCTTTCGTGGAGTGTGCAGATCAATCGGCAGCGGATAAAATTATTGATAAGCTCCAGTGTTTCAACTTTAACGGATCTCAGTTGGTGGTCGAGCCAACGTTTTCCACCACAGGAAAGAGAACTGGCATGCCATTTGTACCTGAGGGCAAATGGACGAGGAAATTTCGCTGAAAATGACTTTTTGTTATAATGCTCATTCATTTAGGCTTTTTTAATAAAACATGTATTAATCTTTTGTTTGTTTAGTTATTTATACTTAGGTGGTTTGCGCCTCGTAGATACTCGAGGCAATTTTGTGTAAAAGTTCAGCAAAATTCTATCCAAATATACCTAAAGGATGCGGCGAGATGCCCCGGATAAGAATCAACAGCATAATGGATATTGGAAACGGTTAGTCAGAAACGCTCTAAAGCTTAAACTCTTCCTGTCTTGCAAAATAATGTTATTTCACTTTATTAAACATGAAATTGGATTAGCATCAATCAATTTCTTTCAAATGCAATTCTAGATCTTGTAGGTAGATGTTTCCTTATTAAACCTCCTAGAAGAAACGATATGCACACCTACAAATAAGGGGGGTGGGACTTTTCGCCGCAGCCGGTTCGCCGCGGCCGATTCGTCGCGGCCGTTTCGCCGCAAGCCGTTTCGCCGCAAGCCGTTCCGCCGCAAGGCCTTTTCGCCGCAAGCCGTTTCGCCGCAGGCCATTTCGCCGCCCGCCGTTTGTTGCGTTATGAGACAAAACTAGTAGTTTGAAACAGAGATGGGCTGATATTGAGAAGCAATTAACCGCGCGTTCGTTATTTTGGTCCGAGTTCTCCGAGCTTGACTTTACCGTTCGTTTATTTAAAAAGTGTACTCGGTGCAGCCTCATTCGCGTTCTTTTATTAAAATTTCTGGCACTTTTATACAGCGTTCAACTGCTCTGTTCGCTCGCTGGTCACGTGATTACGGCTCCGCTCAGCACGCTCTGCTCTTTGAGCAAAATAGCGAACGCAAGGGTATTTACGAACGCGAAATAAATAAGACATCAGGTGAATTGGGGTGTCCGAAATTATAACCCTTTTTTCAGTAGCAATAAAAAAGACAATGCTATGATTTTGACCAGGTTATTTTTATGGTTTGGTAGAATCACTAGAAAACCAAACTAACCCTTTCTGCATAAAGTAGCAATAAAAAGAACATTGCCATGATTTTGACCAGGTTATTTTTATTGTTTGGTAGTGTTTCTAAAGTATAAAATGATTTCTGTTAACGAATGGTAAATGTGGCAACGCCAAACCTATATTGCAGATTTCTGTAATATCGGCTGCCCTGGGAGATTGCTATTGGGGGAGAAAAAAGGGAAGGGGGAATATGTCTTTGTCTTTTTTGAGTGTGGCCGTCTGGCGAAAGGCTGTAAAAAGTCGCAGTGCAAATAAAATGTAATTTTGATTGAAATTTTCGAGTGTTTATTACAAAAAAGTGTCAACAACAATTAGCTGAAGCTTAGGAATGGTTCCTAACATAAAATGGTCCTTCGAAACCCGGATGTACTGGTAATATTGCACAAATTGTAATTGGCAAGATGGGCCCGTAAAGCAAAGGACGGCGTCCATATTGGCATCAGGCACCGGCACCATCATCGTATCGATCAATATCGATCGTGACGTATATGGTGGGTCGCATAGCAACAGTTGCAACCGTTGCAACACACATAAAATGTCAAATTGGTAAAAAAGGAGCACACTCCGAGGATCAGCTGTTCGCTGACAGCAGCAGATGAAGTTTGTTTATTGTTTTGGTCATTGGTTTTGGTACACAGATGTGAAAAAGTGGATTTGGATTGGATCTTTTCTTCTTTCATTTGGAAATTGGAAAATAACTGCTATTTATAATTGGATCACAGGATTTAAAATACTGGATTGGTTATTGGTTTTACAATTGTTGGTAGGTAAAGCTTTTGTTTGGTGATTGGTAAAGATAATTAAATAAACCTGGTAAGTGGTATCCTTTTCAAAAAAAAAAAAAAGAAATTATTAATATAACTTATTCATTGTTGTTTTATTTACTTCTTGGTTACAAAAATACGCTTATTAAGGTGGCTTCGGTTTGGTTGGCAATGTAAATTGAAATTGTGTTACTTCATACACTAAACTTTCAGTTTATTTGCTAGGATTTATCCTGTTTTGACTAATATATACTCATTAGTTTGTATATTGCTGGTTGGTATTGATAAACAAAAAGAAAACTTGTGTTTTTTATCATTTAGTCTAGTTTTATTGTAAACAAATCGGTATTTTTATTGATATTTCCTCGGATATTTCATATTAGTATATAATATATTGGTAGGCAGGTCGTTGAATGAAAATAAACATTGTATCTATTATATTTTGGTATTGGTGTTTGTTAAATAGTTGTAAAGATGACTGATGAGGTTGAACTTAAGACAAACATAAAAAGGCGTGGAATTTGCAAGTCAAAATTGACAAACTTTAATAAATTCTTGACTTCAATTGTTGACTTAGCAACAGATAACATAGATAGCGTAAAACTAGTTGAATTGGAAAGCAGAGCGGATAAACTTCCAGAAATATTAACTGAATTTGAAACTTATCAAAGGGAAATAGAGATAAGTCATGAGAATTTAGACGAACAACTTGCAGAGAGGGAACAATTTGAAAATTTTTATTATAAATTGCTTGCCTCTGCAAATGACTTACTGAAAAAACATTCTGACAGTTCCAGTAATGATGATAGTGTTTCTCAATTGGGCAGAACTAATGCAGTGGGTGGTGTAGGTGTAGGTTTTCCAAATGTCAGATTTCATACAGCAGGCCCAAAACTACCATCAATTCCTTTGCCAAAATTTTCCGGTAACTTTGAAAAATGGCTCGAGTTTAGAGACACTTATAAATCATTGGTGCATGATAACAGCAATATTTCAGATATTGAAAAGTTTCATTTCTTGCGTGGTTCTTTGGAAGGTGGTGCAAAGGATGTGCTGCAGAATCTTGATATTAGTTCAACAAATTACTCTATTGCTTGGGATTTACTTTGTGAAAGGTATGACAACAAGTCCATACTGGTTAATAATTATCTCAAATCACTTTTTGGTCTCCCTGCTATGAGTAAGGAATCAGCTGGAGAGCTACGTGTACTATTAGATGGTATTATTAGGGGACTACGATCACTCAAAGCACTTAACATTCCGGTCGATAGCTGGGATTTGGTTATTATTTATTTCATGTGTGAGAAGTTAGATTCGGTTACGGCCAGAGAGTGGCAAGAGAAGAAACCAAAGAACAGGTTGCCTGCACTGGCTGAATTTAATTCATTTTTGAAAACTAAAACTGAACTACTGGAAACGCTTGAGGGCCAGTCGAGGAAGACCAAGGTAAGTAATCGGTCGGATACTAAAAACAAACATTTCAATTCTCTCGTGAATATCAATGAAAATTGTTCATTTTGTAAAAGTAATCATAGTATAATGAATTGTCCTGAATTTCTTAAATTATCAGTTTATGACAGATATACAAAGGCAAAATATCTTAGACTTTGCTTGAATTGTTTGAAGGCTAATCATATGAGTAAAGATTGTCGTTCAAGTAAGTGTAGAAAGTGTTCTACTAGCCACCATACTTTACTTCATTATGATAAAAAATCTTCAAATGAAAAGCAAGTTCATCCAGATCAAAATTCAAATGTTGTACCTCAAAATAGAGTGGAAAGTGTAAGTGTAAACATGTCTTCATCTTGTGTTGGTCAGCAAGATATGTTACTTTCCACTGCACTTGTGCAGTTATTTGATTCAAATGGTCAATCAATTACTGCTAGAGCTTTGCTTGACTCAGGCTCCCAGTCGAATCTAATAACTGAAGAACTTTGCGATAAACTGGATATTGGTAAGCAAGAAATCAATGTTTCAATTATTGGTGTGAATCAAACAGTTTCTTGCATTAAATATAAATGTAACCTAACTGTACAATCTCTTCATAACGAGTTTACCAAGGATATCTCTTGCTTGGTGGTACCTAGGATTGTTGGATTTCTTCCTGGTAAAACTATGGATGTTTCTCAGTTGCAGATTCCAAAACATTTCAAGTTGGCAGACCCCGGTTTTGCTATTTCTGGCAACATTGATCTTCTCCTAGGAGCTGATATATTTTATCAACTTTTGTGCATTGGCCAGTTTAGTTTAGGGAATGATCAACCCATTATGCAAAAAACAAGGTTCGGATGGATTTTATCTGGTCCATGTAGCTATGGCAATACAGTGCAATCTCCAACTTATTGTGGATTAAATATCAATTTGGACATTCAGAATCAGTTAGAAAAATTTTGGTCAATTGAGGAACCCCCAAATAGTTTGAAACCTATACTTTCACATGACGAGAAGGAATGCGAGAGTATTTTTGTTCAAAGTACAAAAAGAAATGAAGATGGCAGATTTGTTGTTCAAATTCCTCTCAAACAGCATCCATCTGTATTAGGTAATTCAAGTTTTTCCGCTAAAAGGCAATTTTTCTCGTTGGAAAGGAGACTGCAAAAAAATCCTCAAATAAGACAACTTTATATTGAATTCATGCAAGAGTACGAGGCCATGGGTCATATGTCTGAGTCAAAAGATAATTCTGGTGAGACTTCCTACTTTTTACCTCATCATGGAGTCATAAATGAGAATAGTTCAACAACTCGTTTGCGTGTCGTTTTCAATGGTTCATCTCCCACAGATAATGGAATATCCCTCAACGATATTCAATATACTGGGCCAAATATACAAGATGACTTGTTGGAAATATTGTTAAGGTTCAGAGTTCACAATATCGTCGTTTGTGCCGATGTGGCAAAAATGTATCGCATGGTGATGGTGAGTGAGCACCAGAGAAGTCTGCAAAAAATTTATTGGAGGGCGAGTCCAAATGATGAGTTAAAGATCTATTCTCTCAATACCGTTACTTACGGTACGACCTCTGCATCCTTTTTAGCTATTAGGTGTCTCAAACAGTTGGGTTTGGAATTTGAAAATGAATATCCAGAGGCATGTAATGTAATTTTACATAGTTTCTTTGTAGATGATTTGTTATGTGGAGCAGATACTGTTGCAGAAGCAGTAACTTTAAGTATTCAGGTAGCTAGAATACTGGAAACTGGTTGTTTTTCCCTGAGAAAGTGGGTATCAAATTCCCCTGAGGTGATTAGGCAAATTGTTGGAGATGTTTCCAACAATGCTTTCAGTAATCGTGACATCCATTTCAGCGAGGAGAATAAGACTCTTGGTTTGTATTGGTCATTCAAGAATGATCATCTCATGTATCGTATATCTTTAACCGAGCCTGGAAAATATACTAAAAGAACTATTCTTTCATCCATAGCCAAAATTTACGATCCATTAGGTCTAGTTTGTCCATGCATAATCATTGCAAAGATTATTTTGCAAAAATTATGGTGTACCAAGATTGGTTGGGATGATTCTTTGCCATTAAGTATTCACTCCTCATGGCATAAGTTACGGCAAGAATTGTTGGTTTTAAATGACATGGTTATCCCAAGGAAAATGGTTTGTTTTAATGCTAGCATTATTGAATTACATGGTTTTTGTGACAGTTCTGTAGAAGCTTACGGTGCTTGTTTGTACTTGAAAAGCACAACCACTTGTGGTCAGTCTCAAATCTCTCTTGTCTATGCTAAGGCTAAGGTGGCCCCATTGAAGGTAATAACACTTCCTCGACTGGAATTGAGTGGCGCATTGGTTCTTGCACAATTGGTTAGTACTTTCAAAAGGTCAGTCAATCTAACTATTCACAAAACCTATCTATGGACTGATTCCTCAGTGGTATTAGGTTGGTTATCTCACTCACCGCACAACTTACAAACATTTGTTGGGAATCGTGTATCTCAAATACAATCTTTGACTTCAAGTCAAGATTGGCATCATGTTTCATCAAAAGATAACCCTGCAGATATATTGTCAAGGGGTTGTTATCCTGAACAATTGGTTGACAACAAAATATGGTGGAATGGACCTGTTTGGTTGACTAAAGATTGCTCAGAATGGCCTAAGTCAATAATTGAAATTGATATATTACCTGAATTAAAGAAACAAACCTATAATTGCCAGGTTATCCCTGAATATTTTCCAATTAAAGAATTTTCCAACTTTTCACGCTTGAAACGTAGCTTTGCTTATGTTTTAAGATTTTTCAAAAATTGCAAAACTGATAGGGCATCTAGAAATTTTGGTAAGCTCACAGTCCATGAAATGAACGATGCATTGGAAAAATTAGTTGTAGTATCCCAAAAGGAATCCTTTCCTAGTGAATATTCATTGCTGTTGCAAAATAAACAATGTCTTAAGGGCCCTCTCAGTGCACTAAACCCATTTATTGATATAAAGGGTGTCTTGAGGGTGGGGGGTAGATTAGAATTGTCAAATTTAGACTATGCCAAAAAGCATCCAGCTGTTTTGTCATGTAAACATCATTTTACAAAATTGCTGTTTTCTTTTGAGCATAAAACATTATTACACGCTGGGCCTCTTCATTTGCTTGCTTCAATTCGAGAACACTATTGGCCAATTGGTGGGCGAAATTTGTCCAGGCATATAGTTCACAAATGCATACGATGTTTTAAGGTGAAACCGAGAGCAATTGGGCAAATGATGGGTGACTTACCTCAAGAACGTATCTCCCCTACGCCTCCTTTTCATGTAACTGGAGTAGATTATGCGGGCCCCTTTCTTATAAAGTCCAAGAGTGGAAGAGGTGCCAAGATATCAAAGTGTTATGTGTGCCTGTTCATTTGTTTTTCGACTCGTGCAATTCATCTAGAATTGGTATCAGAATTAACTTCTGAGGCATTCATTTCCACTTTCAGGCGTTTTGTATCTCGCCGAGGAAAGCCTGCTTTAATATGGTCTGATAATGGTACAAATTTTGTCGGTGCCAATTCTGAGCTGAAGGAACTTAGTAAGTTTTTGCAGGGGCATAGCGAAGAATTTGTAGGAACTTTTGAAAACGAAGGCGTTAGCTGGAAATTTATCCCTTCTCGAGCTCCTAATTTTGGCGGAATTTGGGAGGCAGGAGTAAAGTCTTGCAAATTCCACATGAAACGTGTCATGGGCAATGCCTCATTAACTTTTGAGAATTTCTATACATTGCTCACCCAGATTGAAGCCATTTTAAATTCGCGCCCTTTGGTTCCACTTGCTAGTGATCCAAGTGATTATGACGAATTAACACCAGCCCATTTTTTGGTTGGTAGGCGATTGACAGCTTTACCTGATCTCGATGTTAAAGAAAAGTTTGACAATCGTCTTTCTAAATATCAGTACCTTCAAAAGCTTTATCAACATTTTTGGGCGCGTTGGTCGAAGGAATATGTAATCCTCCTTCAACAACGTTTTAAATGGAAACATCCTCAGAAGAATATTCAAGTGGGTGAACTAGTGATACTTCGTGAGGACAATCTCCCTCCTCTCAATTGGAGAATTGGACGTGTAAGTGAAATTCATTTAGGACGTGATAAGCAGTGCCGCGTAGTGTCTGTAAAAACTTCGCGGGGTATACTAAAGAGACCTATCTCTAAGATTTGTCCTTTGCCCATTGACAATGATTAGGGACTTGATTATTTATTAGGTTTAGGAAAACTTGTTTGAATCATTGAAATTAGTTTTTAAGTTTGGATTTAACTATTTGCGTCCATCTATGTTTTGGATAAGGAATTGTATTTGTTTCAGCTTAGCCACCTTTGTATTTTTTTTTTATATATTATTTTGTGTTGAAAGTCTCAACCCTTTCAAGGTGGGGGGTATATGTTTCTAAAGTATAAAATGATTTCTGTTAACGAATGGTAAATGTGGCAACGCCAAACCTATATTGCAGATTTCTGTAATATCGGCTGCCCTGGGAGATTGCTATTGGGGGAGAAAAAAGGGAAGGGGGGATATGTCTTTGTCTTTTTTGAGTGTGGCCGTCTGGCGAAAGGCTGTAAAAAGTCGCAGTGCAAATAAAATGTAGTTTTGATTGAAATTTTCGAGTGTTTATTACAAAAAAGTGTCAACAACAATTAGCTGAAGCTTAGGAATGGTTCCTAACAGGTAGAATCACTAGAAAAGCAAACTAACCCTTTCTGCATAAAGTAGTAATAAAAAGGACAATGCCATGATTTTGATCAGGTTATTTTTATTTTTTTTATTAAGATGGGTAATTTTTATTGTTTGGTGGAAAATTTTGTTCACTATTTAAACCTGAAAATTTTGACCAAATCTTACATAATTATTTATATACAATATAATTTTTTTTGGACCAGAACTTACATTACTAATTATATCTAGGATTATTCTCAACGCGGCGAAACGGCTTACGGCGAAATGGCTTGCGGCGGAACGGCTTGCGGCGAAACGGCTTGCGGCGAAACGGCTTGCGGCGAAACGGCCGCGACGAATCGGCCACGGCGAATCGGCTGCGGCGAACTGTACTAGACCCTACAAATAAAGCTTAAAAATACATATTAGAAAAAAAAAAAAAATATGTATAGATTCTAGATCAAGAAAAGTCTCAATGAGGCACTACGTGGCCTTAGGCCTAATAATAATCGTCAACATAAATCCTGAAAAAGAACGGCATTTTTCCCTCCCTGCGCCTGCTACAAAAGGTATTACGTTAAACTGGTATAATCCGCTTCCGGTACTGAAGGCAGTTTTTTCTTTTTCATCTTTGTGTATTGCCACTTGCCAGTATCCACTCTTAAAAGATTCAAGGTGGAAAACCATTTGGAGCCCGATAGAATTGTTAATGTATCGTCTATCCTCGGAAGAAGGAAGCTGTCCTTGGTGACGTCAATAAGTTTACGGTAGTCCACACGAAATCTAAGACTTCCATCTGTCTTTGTAACCAATACCACAGGCGCAGACCATGGACTATTAGACTGTTCAATAATTCCCTCTTGAAGCATTTTATTAATTTGGTTTTCCACTTCCTGTTGTTTAGCTACTGGCATACGTTGTGGTGGTTGTCTAATTGGGTGTGCCAATTCAGTATCAATTTTGTGTTGAATTAAACTGGTCCGTCCGGTTTGATTATCCTTCACAAATACGTCTGCTTCTTGCTTCTTTCAAGATGAAATCAGTGGCTTCTTGAAGTCTATCTGGATCGAGGTGTGTCCATGATTTCTCCAAAGTCTGCATCAAGGTGTCTTTATCCAATTTCGATTTTTCAAAATTTCGCTTATCTAGTAGGTCACAGTTCGATATTTGCTTAACTGGTTCGAGAGTTGCAATATATATCTCCTTCCTTTATTTTTACTGTTCCAGAAGAAACATTGGCAATTCTTATCATAATGTCTCCATTTGCTCTTACTAGAGTCTTTCCAACGAGAAATCTCCATTAAAATTATGTGTTAGTTCAACGCAGTACCCAGGGTTTTTTTCCAATTTTCCGCAAATGATCTTCTCAGTACTTCCACGAATCCTCACGGGGTTTGTGGCCAGGATCTTAACGGCTTGGGATTATTTTTGTGTAGTTAGGACAAATTCTTCATTACCAAATTTAAGGATGTTCATAGAAGGATCGAAAGAAAAACCATATTGGCCGATCAAATCCATTCCCAAAATAAAATCATCTTCTATATCGGCGACTAATGTTTTGTGCCTAAAGGTGGTAGATCCAAAAGTAAGCTCAACCATAGCTTCTCCTTGAACCTTGAACTGGTGCTGATTCGCCCGTGACTGTTCGTAGTAACAGGTTTTTAGTGAGCGGTTGGATTGCCCGAGACTTGACTAATGTTTTACTAATTATAGAAACTTCAGCACCCGTATCAAAAGTGATGGTTTTAAGTTCTCGATTAATTTGTCTTTCGAATTTTAATCCTCTGTAATGACTGCCCAATGATTTTATGTAAACAATCCTGGGGGCTTCGTCATTACTAACCAGCATTCGCCCCTCCATACTGATTAATTCTTGTTTCCCTGTCTGTTATTAGGGCTGGCGTCTCTAGATCTCCAAAAGCGTTGGAAACGATCCCTGATGGAGAGGAAATCCTTACTGTACAATTTTGTTGAATATGTCCATGCTTATGGCAACGGTAACATTCTAATCGGTTTCTCGATGTTGGTATTTGTCTGGGGTCTTTTCTCGTTTTTCTGCCTTCTAGTAAAAGTTTCTTCATTTCCTCCATGAAATTACTCATAACATTCTCGAAACTACCATCCTCTTTTGACGATTGATCATCTTTTGGGTCTTAAATAGACACTGTTCGTATTGTGGGCCGTGAGGCGTGAGGCGTGAGGCACCAAATATTGCTTCCAGTTCCAATGCTCGGACAAGGGCTTCGCTACATTGTCTAAACTTATTAGAAATTCCCAGGTTTCCCTGGTTTTTGGAATCTCTGAGACCATCAATGGGCGCAGATACTGCCATCCATTCCTGCATGTCATTCCCAGCTGCAGGAATAGCCAAACGCACCAGCCTTTTAACTTCCGATTCGAATTCTTGTCCATGTAAAAATTCGCCGGGTTTTTGAATTCTTGATCTAACTTGAGTTCTAAATAGCTTTTGCCTGTAATGGTCTCCGAAGCGCAATTCTAACGTCTGTTGGTACATTGAAGCAATTGACTGAAGAAGATCTAAGGCGTAGCGCCACTATCAGTGCTGTAGCTTTTTCTTGATCGTTTGTTTGCAGCAGCTTCAAGTTGTCGGATATACATGGTCCAGGATGTAGAACCGTTAAAAGTTGGTGGTTTTATCTTCATACTAGAGAATAGATAAATAAATAGATAAATAGAGAAATAATTTATTGGGGTTAATATCGTAAAATACCATTTGCACAAGTCAGCAAATAAAGTAGGTACCTACATACATAAACTATAGCCAAAACAGTGACTATTTATATACATACATATTACATATTCTTATATATGTTACCGGACAAACCCGATTTTAGATAAACTAGTTTTTCCTAGGCCGAATCAGTGTATCCAAAGAGCGATAGGATCAACTAGTTTATCCTAGTCTAAACTGATTTGTTCTAAAATCAATTAATTGTGAATAGGCAAAACTGATTTGTCCTAGTCTACATACAGTCTCTTCACAAAAGTAACCTTTTTACTACTAATTGAAGAAAATAGTATTATTACAGACATGTTTACTAATTTTCATTATTTATTTGTTATTACATGTCAAACTATTATGGCATTTCGTATTCGAGTTGCAGAGAACGTTATTTTTCATGCAAAGGCATCGATTCGACGTACCTACACTTCTTGGTGCAACTACACTTAAAGAAACCTTGGCCTGTTTTGTTTATTTCTTCTTCCAATAAAAACTGTCTTATTATGCATGCAATATAATTTTTGTAAGATACCATGCTTGGTCCCAATCTTATAAAACCCATCATCAGATGCTTCAAGCACAACTCCAATAACGTTCCCAAGATCTCCTTTAGCCCTGTCTACATCAGGAGTAGGTATGATGATGTTATCTCCAACTCTCGCTGGTGGATGCGACTTGTGAGAGCTTGCTTTCATCTTTTTGGCCATCGTCTCCACTCCTATCTTCGTCTCCATTCCTATCTTTGTCTCCACCCTTATGTTCGTATCTATCACTGATTTCATTTTCATGTCCATCTATGTTTTTCCCATCAAATAGTTTTCGAATATCGTCCTCGTCTTCAATGTCCTTTAGCAGTTCCGAAGGCAATGAAGTAGTAGAGAGGCCAGGCCAACCTAGGTTCCGCACCAAACATTGCCTTATAAGGCGATTGTTTAATTCCAGAATGAAATGCTCGATTTTTCATAAACTGTATATGTACCTTAGTCCTTCTGACCATTTAGTTGTCTGGCTGTCATTCATCCAAGCACACAGCATGTTTTCAGTATCTTGGTTTGCTCTTTCGTCTGATTCCTGAATTTGACTATGTCGTGGTTTTCCATGCACGATTTTGAGCTTTGGCAGCTTGTCACTTCTAAAATTACACGATTCACAAATTCTCGGCCATTCTCAGATTTTAGAATGCATGGGGCCCCGAAAGTTAAAAATATATCATTTAAATGGTAACCTCCTCGGCTCTCTTACTTTCCAATGGACGAAGCAGAACAAATTTTGTTAGGTGGTCCTGATACACCAGTATAAATTCAAACTTTCCATCTGGTTGTATCTGGAAGTCAATAAGATCGACTTGGCATCGGCTATTCATTTCAGAGTGCGAAATCGGTTTGGAGACTAATCCTCTCTTTTTTTTCGTCTTTTTTTGTTGACACACCACGTACATAGATAAAAAAAGACATATCATTTCTTTTGTGATATTCGCAAACTTTTTGTAAGGTTCAGCGGGTTCAGCCAACATTCTGTCACGACCAGTACGACCACCATGTCCCACTGCTATGTGAGCTGCATCAATAACGTTATATAACTCATCAGCGGTGAGATATACCAATAGTTATTTATGTATCAAGGGTACTAAGTAGATGATTATGCCCTGAGGGCGACAGTCTTACAAAGCCGAGGGCCTCTGGCCCGAGGGTTCGTAAGTCGCCCGAGGGTATATATATCTATTAGTACCCGTGGTGCATACAAACTTTTATGTCACACCAGTTGGTTGTGAATAATAAATACCTGGGAAAAAAGTGTCACTTCGCAAATTGTCATCAGTGTGCAAACATCAACATTTTTTGACAAAAATAATATGTTTATAAGCGTAAATTTATATTTTGTTAATGAAGAATAAGTTAATTGAAAATTGTTTTTTGCGTCTTTATGCCCGCGCGGCCATAATGTGTACTTTATGCCCGCACGGGCATAAAGTAATGAATTATGTAGATGGTATCTAAGGTATAAAAACACAATAATGTATTGGTATGACATAAAGAATATTATAGACTAACGTCTCGAGTTTGTTTTGTCCTTGTTAACGTAACCGAAAAGTAAACGAGAATGATAAAGACGAAAAATTTGTTCTCTCGGGGAGCTAAAGAATTAGAATTTTAAAAACAAGAACATGAAAAACAAATGCAAGAATCTAACAATGTAATTAATAATTTGCAACCAAAACTGAACGATCGTAAAGTGGCTTATGATAAATCACTAGCCGAATTGAATGCTAATATGCATCCTTTGAAAGGAGTCAATTACCACAACTTGAAAATTATTTACAAAGTGAACGTAGGTGATGACACTAAGCAAATTTAAAAGCAAGTATACAGTAGATACTATGAAAGAAAAAAATTATCGAACTAGAAAATAATATGGCGACTTCAGATGCTGCCACTGCTGATTGGCAATGGAAACATAGACTTTTACTAGGAAACCTAAAAAATAAAGAGTGCCAATGGAACAAAGAAAAACTAGAAATGGTTAGAACAATGAACCAACAAGATGGCGTTTTAAAGGAAATTGCATATGGAAAAGCTGATTATGACGCAGCTTATTAGAAGTTATTGAAACTCAAAAACGAGAACTACAAAACGAAATTGAATATTTACAAAAT